TTCGATGGACTTTGCCATCACTGAGTGAATGTGTGTAAAGGAAGTCAGAAGACTAGAAAGGCGCTATACAAGTATAAGTATACAGGTCCATTACCATTACCATAGACGATACTGCAAAGAGACCTGCATAAAAAAAAGGCAGCTGAGTGTAACAACAACTCATGCCATTAAACCTGTTTGTACGAGTGGTTCTTGCATGAGGCCCAATGTCATCTAAAGATTATTTAAATGCTATCAGTGTGTGTGCAATTAAAAACATATTTATAAAGATTAGACATGGATAGGGACAAAACAAACCTCAGTCCAGTGCTGCTGGTCTACAGACAGGAAGTAGCTGCCACCCAGAACTGCCTCGGATTCATTCTTTCCTCCAAACACAAACACAAAGTCTTTGCCTACAGGAAAAATGAGAAGGCTTTATTATATAATAAATAAGAAAGGATGAAAATGAATGAATGAGAGACAGAAATAAATCACACAAGACTTCCTGTATTATCCCACCTTTGTGACTGACCACAGTAGCAGTGTGCCTCCATCTTGCCAGAGGTGGATCCCCTGTGCAGACCATCTGATCCACCCACAGTTTTGCCGTGTCTTGCTCCTCGTCGAGAGGACTACCAAGGTCAAGGGTTACTCTGAATAGGCCTCTGGTTGGGTTGAGTGGAGAGGAGCGACCACCGTAGACCATGATCCCTCCTCCAGGAAGAGTGGTAACAGTGTGGTAGAGTCGAACACCTTGAGGAAGGCAACAGCTGTTCACACTGGAAGCTAAACTGGTCTCACGTCACAAGTTTGATCATTTGACTAAAAGAATAATTAGTAATGGTAAAACCAATTAAAAATCTGAAGCAGAAAGCCTTCTCACCCAAATCTACTGCTGGTTCCACACTGACAGCTCTCCAGCCTTCCTGGCCCCTGAGGAGGATCCTGGTCACTGGCCCCCTGCCTCCTCTGCTAGACCCTCCTGTTAGCACGACCTGCCCTGGGCTTACCAAGGAGCTAGCCATCCCCAGCCCCTCCAAACAGACTGGTACGGTCTGCACACTCAGGGCTGTGGGGCTCCAAGACGGGCAGGTGGATGGCACTGGAGATACTGAGGCAAAAACAACAAACAAACAAACATCAGAAACACAAGTGTTACAACCTTAGCTGTGAAACATGTACAGACAAGAAAACAATGTGTCTTAAAGGTTATATATGTTAGACATTAATATAGCAGCAAACAACTATTTTTTATTATTATTATTTATTTACAGTGTCCTGAGCAGAGAATAGTGTCACACTCTCTTTACCTGTGCTGCTATTGGTTTAACAAAAGGTCAATTTCTGTAGGGATCCTTTCCATAATGCTGTCAGACACTTAAGTCAACAATCTGAGCCTGTCAGTGGCCATTTTGATGGCTGCATCTGTCCACAGGAATTAGCTAAGGAGGAGCGAGAGAAACCTGATTTTTTCACAGATGATCTGTCTCATGTACTACTGTCAGGATATAGTGAAAGTTTCAGTGAATATGACAAAAAGTTTTTATGTATGAAAGTTACCTACTGCAGCTTTAACATTTGCTTTGAGAGTGAAGACAGTTATATTTTATAAATGTTGGAAGGGATGGATTGAATTTTACTTAAAAAACTAAATTGTAAAATGTAAGATGACTGTACCGACGGACTTTCTACTTAATTAAAAAAAAGAAAAAGTAAAATGGCTCAAACAAATTGTAAAAGATCTGTTAGTTGTAAAGTCGGGACAGTGGTTTCTGTGAAATGGAAATACAGTGATAGCTACCTGGAGCATGCGGGAGTAAAGCCTGTGCCATCAAAGAGCCTTGAGATGCAGTAAGGATGAAGTAGTGGGAACATTTCTGGTGCCACTCCTAAAAGGTAGACAGATGTAATGAGTTGAGTTAATTTTGTTCAACGTTATTACTTGGAAGTATGATTTAATAAAGGGTATGACAGAGAGACAAAATAAGAAGATGCAAACACATTTCAGAGGCTAACCTCATATTCATCAAACGGCTCAAGGCTCTCCACTCGGGATCTCTCTTCTTCAGGGACCAGCCCGAGGTAGAAGACGTTCATATCCAGACACACACACTGCTCCCAGCCCTGAACACAATAACACAGTTCA